GCAAATCTCACAACACAATCAAGCAGTTGACAAGCTAGAGCAAACTTAGATAGGATCTTACATCATTCAAGAGCGAGTAGGAATGGGGGTGTACAAACTGAAGACTCATTTATGCCAAAATTTTGAGTGGGAGACAGTCCAAAGATCTTTTATCTATGAATAAGTTATTGAAATTTATTTATTACCGTTTTATTCATAACGTTGTAACAAAACAAAAGTTTGTGATAAATATTTATTCTTAGAATGACTTTTTCTTGGATATTTAATTAAAATAGATAGAGTGGAGAGCCCTAACTTAGTTTACAATGAAAATGAAAAGCTCAAGTATAAGCTTAGCAGTAGAATGATTACTCCCAGAGAAAATATTGATTGTTTCCATAATAAATTTTGTAGGAATAGGCCAATTAGCCCCCAAGAAAAAACTTGAAGGAGAACTACGAGCCCTAAAAGTTGGCAATTATCACTTGGTTAAATTCATCTGCTTTATCTATTCTTTAAAATTAAATATCAAAGTGAAGATAATATTAAAATGATATATTAAGAAAACACACTAGTATTAATATTCCCTTATAATTGAATTCCTAACCCATAAATTTATCCTTTTGTAGAAAAATTTCAGGGGACCATAGAAGATGTAACCTGATCGCTAATGATACATGGAGAACCCACCAAGATGAGTTCTCACGAAAGATTAGTCAACCGACTGAACAATTTGAAATCACTTATAGTTCATCAGTATTAGGAGTTAGTTCGGAATATATCCCCCTAAAGAAAGATTAAATCATTTGAAAGTCTTTGTCACGTCGGCTCATTCATTCAAAACCTGCTTAAAGGAACTTGCCATCCCACTTAAAGAATCCAAACTTAAATTACTTGCAACTAGAAATCCAACCTCTAAAAGAAATCCTTTGGATAAAGTCACTTCGCGTAACACCTATGTTAAAAATACAAAGCACAACATGCTTTGGGGTCCAATAAGCAACGCCTACAACTGAATTTGTCTCTCATTCAAATATTTACGCGTTCACTTTTCATGTAAAATAATGTCAAACAAAGATATGCAATGAAAATTTGAACTTTAATCGTGCTTAGATTTTAAGAGCAATTAATGCTTACACTTCATAAAATAAGAAACATTTTACATTACCAATGACAAAAGGAGTTTGATTATAATGCTAAGTTATTTATCTTGTATCTCACCGTCCTTTTTCTATCCAAATCAAGATCAAAGACTTTATATAGAGATGACCGGTTACATCATGCAATATTGGGTTAGGGTTGTAAATAAGCAAGAGCTATTCCTCTGAGTGATTGGGAGATTGGATAGCTTCGAAAGAATCTGCTCAAAACAATCAATTTTGCTAATAATTCACCCGAAGGGAAACCATATAGGGTAAGATAAACCTGATACGATCTATGATGCAAATACAACAAAGCTGCTGAGAAGCTCATTGTATGCATAGATTAGTATCCCGAATCCATATTCGAACACCAACAAATAAAGAGCTCCTTATTTCGAATAATAGCAAACAAAGACTTCTAGAAGCAAAAGACAAAACAAAGAATTTTTCTCTTCTTTTCTTTGTCACTAAAGTCAGGAGAACACTCCAACATCTTTTACAAGCAGCATCAACCATCAGCTTAAATGAAAGAAAATCCTGATAGATGTCGCCTAAAAAAGAGTATGAAGTACTGCCAAGAAATAAAATCAGCATTAATACTATATATTGCCAGTAAACCATTCTCCTGACACATTGCATTCTATTTAACTTAACTATAATGAATATTTTGTTGCATTTTATAAATTTATAACTTTTGTCTGTCATCTCAATCTAAATTGGGAAACAATAGATTTTGTATTTAAAGCTCTTTTATTTGATTCATTTATGAAGATTTATTATTTTGAGGGGTGTCTATTGGATTTACATTAAATAGGGACTTCATTATTCAAAATTCCTTTGAGTATTTGTTCAAAACTTATCATAGAATTCGCTATTAATGTTCATCCTCATAAAAAGTCCTTATATCGAATTGCTAAAGAGATTTCTGACTTGATAACCTAAGCAGTCATACAAAATTTGCCAACTGTATTTCGATAATTAGAACTCATCTACTCAAAATACATTTTACTCATTAAGCAAATTCATTTCGGCAACCATGGGAACTCGATTGCAACTATTTATAGCATGATGTCATCTCATTTATTAATTTGGAATTAATCAGTTGTGTAATTCGTCAGTTAGAATTTGCTCGCAAAAATTTAACTCATCCATTTGTGAGATTTTAACTTACCAGATTTATTATTTATTATCTGCTTATTAAGAATTTATTTACCATCAAGTCCTCATATCATCAGTCATCTAATTAAGTACGTTATCACATGGAAAGCACCTAGTCAAATCGATAGAATTGCAATACACAGATCAACAAAGTCTCCGATAAAAAGGAGAAATGGATGGCCTACCTTGTGCCACATTGGCACAAAGAAAAGTTAAAAAAAGACGAGATTACTGCCTGTATGAAAGCTTAATGTCCCTAGGCTGATTTCTTGTAAGAACAGCCTAAGGTCCTTCAGGATGATTCCATGTAGGAGAGTGAATTGTCCCCTTGAAGACGAATAATCCACACTTAACAACACGTCTTACATATCTAAAACATTCAAAACTATAGGCTCAACTCAGTGCTCAACTAAACAGTTTGCTGGGGAGATAAAACCGAACAATCAATTTGAGAACCCATCCTAGAACTTCATCCACCACATGGTTTACAATGAATCCTACAAGCTAATTGAACTGCCAAAGATCATCAACATTCAGGCATTATAAAACTTCTGTGCTCTTCTAAAACCATGCTGTCAGAGCACAGGTCATGCTTAGAGGCAGGATTACCCCCAATGCAATAAGATTCACAATAAGTAGCATACGAGTCTCTTCTATGGCAATGTCTAAATGGGTTTTTTTTTTCTTAAATAATTTCTAGTGGACGACCTGACTCCTTAAAAGAGAGAACTTAATCAAGAGTTAAAACGAGGCATGGGCAATATAAGACTTGAATTTATGTAACTTTTATCAACTCGCCTACATATATCAATATAGAATACATTCTTGTACATCATGAATTCAGCTCACTAGCATTATACTAGTTCTTTTTCTTATTTTTCAGACACGTCAATTCTTACAAGGTATATAATTTGCTACATAGATTTCTTATTGGCGCATTAGTTACTTAGTGTTGCAGAAGTATGTAATTTAAGTTATTTTGTTTATGAAGTAACTTCAGAAGTCAGAGTTGATGAATTCACCATTATATAATATTAGAAATAACAATTCGACAACACAATAAAAAGAAGAGAATTTATTTCATTATAAAAAAAATATGTTTTCCATTCGTACAACAAGAGGTGCAACTGACAAACAAATGAAGGAAGGAAAAAACGGAATACTTATGGCATGAATAGCTCAGTGGGTGCCCTTCCTCCTATATTTATAGAGAAATAGCGAAGAGCCAGAACTTCAAGGGAGTAATTAAATAGTCATATAATTTTTTTAAAATACATTTTGATATTTTATTTAGAAATTATAATTCACTTATTTTAATCCACAGCTTCGCTATCAAAAAGATAAGAGAATTATGAAATTAAATATGGATAACCAAACTCTGGATCAAGTTCGATTCGTGACATGAGCCATCTAGTCAATCCATCTATGCAACTCGGCCAACTTGCTAAGAGAAATAACCTGGCCAGGTGCATGTATCCAACTCGAAAGCAGGTTCCTCCGGACAACTAGGATGGTTTTGCCAGCTCACGCATGTGGTATAGGTCAACAGGTGAATTACTAAAGATGGAATGTAGAAGAAACCATTTATGCTTGGAGCCTTTACCAAACAGAGTCATTATAAGAGATTATAATAATAGGCATGCCATAAAATGATAGATCCTCATGGGCATAACGCGGCTAGCCCATATAGCTTATCTTGATTGGGCCAGATGAAAAAAGCAACGAAAATAAATTATAATATCTTGATATTTAGATTAATTTTGACACACCAACTCATTTATAAATACGGGCGATAACTGCAGTGTAAAAAGGTTTTTTTCCCCCCCGAATATTTAAGGCACCTAAATTTTCTATCTTTAGTTTCTGTGCTTATGATCATTTTAACTCTTTTATTGGTGGTGTGAATCCACTGATAAATTAAGATCCAATACACATATATTAGTACCCTTGGTATGCATATTGTGCAGTAGATTTATTTATCTGATGGAGGAAATTATTCAAAAAATCCTAAGAAGTTTTATTATCCGTCCTAAAAAAAAATAAATACCTAGAAAATCTCATTTTATTGTCCTAAATCTATAATGATAGATTTAATGTAGCTTGGTTTGATGTAATGTTTTATAATCTTTAATCTGTTTAGAAGGAGCCGTTAGAAACATAGGTTTGATTCTATTGTGTGATAATCATATAATTCTTTGATATTCATATTACATTATTTTTTTGTATATTAAACCTAATTTATTGTAGAATAAGTATTTGATGAAGCTTTCCTTCCATTGGAGATGCTAAGCTTTATTGTGCTTGTGGTGCATACTTGTAATGAGTTGGTGGATTTAAACTATATTTTTATCCTTTCTTCTAAGTCAGCAACTTTTCTCTTTTTGAATTAAGTG